AGTGAGCAAGTTAATTAGAGATCAAACATCATCGATATCTTGCCTGTAAAAAGTGATCCTAACGAATTCAGAAGACTATTTCTGTGCCACTGCCAAGCTATGAAAGACATTTCCACATATAGGTGAAATGTATCCAGGAGGTTAATTGGAGATTTATCCATTCTCAACGGCTTTTAACAATTGAGATGCCCTGATGATCGCATAGGATTAACTAGCCAAGCAAAAATCTGCGCAAATTCTCTTCGGCTTGTCATGCGTGCGAATCCACTGCACAGTAGTACTTGAGACATGATGCTGGTCTTTTTTCAAACTTTAACTTCCTCTTTTGAAGCCTTAGATCAATGCTGTAGTGCATACGCAAAGCTGCCCCTGGGGTCGCCGCTTCTATTGCTTTCACGACAGTACTGTGGACAAGCCGTAGCCTCTTACGGTTTTCACCGGATCCCTCATCCCTGTTGATCTTCGCGTTGGATGCGAAGCAAAGAATGATTTTAACGAACAGAATTAACATCTCTGTTCTTTGCTAATTTGCTCTCTCCGTTAAGAGGATTGTTCATCAAGCAGGTGAACAAATTGTTGTTCAAACTACAATCCCGCTTCGAGTTACTACTGCTTTCTGACTGAGAGGAAGAAATAGTGGTGTCGCAAAGGGGAGTTTAATTGGGACACAATGATAACTTTGATGCCAGGGCAAAACATGAAGTCATTTGTGAGGACATTGGTGCGATAGCTTGCCCGGCTAGTTTCGTTGCGTGCTTGGATGCAACCGCCTCTATCGCAAAACACCGAGTTTTAAGAATTTCAGCCTTACTTTCTTTTTACAAAGGTCTCAGCGTCCTCATATTTATACTGCACTGTTCTTTTGATAAGGCTGCTGTTTAAATTGATGACTTTTTTCCAAATGCAAAATTGAAAATTCAAATGTCTTACGGATATATACTAGTCGTTGCTCTGTGCAACGATGTGACGATATCTACCATTCTCTTTAGCTGGACTTAGGCATTTGAAATGCAATACAAAAACAACAAGAAAAAATATTTTCC